CAAGTACCATGAGGTGCTGCATTCACAGAGAGCTCATGAGGAGACCTCTAGATAAATGTCACAGGTGACTCTGAAGAGCAGAAAATCTTGTCATGTCAGCCCCCTGGGATCCAAAGCTGCCAATGTTGGGCTCATTCCAAGGTGCTTGCAGCCCTTCCTGCTGCACCTCACCCACCCAAGCACCTGCCCTTGCCTATTCCTGGCAGTTTTCTGGAAGAAAAGGTAGTTTTGCAAACACAGGAACCTCCCAAGGGAAATGGGAGGGACCAGAAGAGCTCCCAGGTGCCTTTTTGTCTGTCTCAATTTGTATCACAGAAGTGCTCATAGCTGGGAAGCAGAATATCAGCTGTGCCTGCTGCTGAGCAGAGAAGCTAAAGCCCTTTGCAAGTGGCAAAAGTATTTTAGCCTGTTTGATAAGGAAGTAAATGAGATAAATAAAATAAAGATCCTAATATTTTTCAATACATAGCAGCTGAAAGAAAAAATTAAACAAACAAAAAACCCACAAAACAAACAAACAAAAACCACAACCAAACACATACAGTAAATAAAAGAGGCTTCTTCTGGTTGTTGGATAGATAAAAACATTCTCATTGCCATTTTCTTCTGCAGAATCTCTCTTTCCCCACTCCCACCAAGGATGGTTTCCCAGGTGTGATATTTGTTGTGTACAGACAACAGAGTTTTGGAAGCAATAAAAAAACCAACAAACCCTGAACAAAATCAGCTGACAGATTGAACTTCATGTTTATACAATGAAACTCATCCCCATCTCCCACGTGGATATTGATCCTGCAACATCTCTGGGTGGATTTGAAGAGATGCTGCAGCCTGCCCTGAGCTCCACCCCAGGGGTAGGGGCTGTCCTGGTGTTCTAATATTCAGCAGCAGCTCATTTTGGGTGAAGCAGAAGCTGTGCAGGGAGCAATGTGTTTATACACTGCAATTAGCAGTGGTTTTAATTGACAAGGTTGGTGGTATCTGGGAGCTACCTTGGAGGCTGCCATCTGAATTTCTGACCTTTCAAAGCACATATGGCAACTACAAGCAGAAGAATATTAACATAAATATATATATGTATGTATCTGCAGGGTGGGTGTCAGGAATGGGCCAGTCTCTGATCAGTGGTGCCTGTGACAGGACGAGGGGAAATGGCACCAAGTGACAACTCAGTTCAGGAGGAGAAACTTCATTCCTGTGAGGGTGACAGAGCCCTGGGACAGGCTGCCCAGAGAGGCTGTGGAGTCTCCTCCTTTGGAGACTTTCAAGACCCATCTGGACAGGTTCCTGTGTGAGCTGCCCTGGGTGTTCCTGCTGCAGCAGGGGGGTTGGACTCGATGATCTTCAGAGGTCCCTTCCAACCCTTGTGATTCTATGATTTACCCACATTCTCCATGTTCAGGGTGATGGAGCCTTGTTAAGATGATGCCCTGACTTCCTAAGAATGTCCTTGGTTGAACACCTGATGAACAAGCTGCAGTCAGATCAGCAGCTGCTGAAACTCCTCACACCAGCAGCAAGATGTTACCATGGTCTCAATCTCAGCAAGACCTCTTCTTCTCTTCTATACACCTTTCATATTAAAAAAAAAACCCCAACAAACCACAACACAACCAACCATACAAAAAGTAAATCCCAGTGAAAAGGGATCTTGCCATCCAAGCTGCAGATGGTAGAAGAGGGGGAAGCTGTTCAAAATGTTCAAAGCAGGCCAAGTTTGCAGGCTGGGTGACTTCAGCCCCCCTTGGGCATTCTCAAAAGGTCAGAGGGGAAAAAAAAAAGAGATCATTGCAACCCTAGCAAGAAGCCTCCCAAACAACTTAGAACCTAAAGTTACAATTCAAACCCCCATTTTCATATGAATTTTTCCCATGGACTAGAAAGGCCTGATCTGCACACACCTGGGGTTGGAAAGGAGTCATTAAAACTCTGGTTGTTGAGCTGCAGGACAATTGAGAGAACAAACTTTCACAGTCAGCAGCAGAGGGTTTCAAGGTGGGGTCATAAACCAAATGCAGGGAAAGGGTTTTCATGCTGGAAAGTTGGATCTTTTAAGCAGCCAGCAGAGAACCATGCTGAAAATAACTGCTCTGTGAATATGTGCCTTGCTTTCTGAGAGTTCCAAATTATAACACCCACCTCCACTGTTCTCCTGGCTTACAGATACACTTCTCCAGGCTTGGGGAAGTGTGGCTGGAAAGGGGCAGGAAAGGACCTGGGGGTTCTCATTGACCAGTGGCTGAACATGAGCCAGTGTGTGCCCAGGTGGCCAAGAAAGCCCATGGCATCCTGGCCTGTCTGAGAAATGGTGTGGCCAGCAGAGCCAGGGAGGGGATTGTCCCCTCTGCTCTGCTCTGCTGAGACCCCCCTGCAGGGCTGGGAACAGCTCTGGGGTCCCCAGCACAGGGAGGACACGGAGCTGTTGGAGAGAGGCCAGAGGAGGCCCCGGAGATGCTGGGAGGGCTGGAGCAGCTCTGGAGCCAGGCTGGGAGAGTTGGGGTGTTGAGCCTGGAGAAGAGAAGGCTCCAGGGAGACCTGAGATCAGCTTCCAGGGCCTGAAGGGGCTCCAGGAAAGCTGGGGAGGGGCTTGGGACAAGGGCAGGGAGGGATGGGAGCAGGGGGAAGGGTTTCCAGCTGGCAGAGGGAGCTGGAGCTGAGATGGGAGGGAGAAATTCTGGGCTGTGAGGGTGGGGAGAGCCTGGCCCAGGTTGCCCAGGGAAGCTGTGGCTGCCCCATCCCTGGGGGTGTTGAAGGGCAGGTTGGATGGGGCTTGGAGCAGCCTGGGCTGCTGGGAGGGTGAAGGGGTTGGAACTGGATGATCTTTAAGGCCTTTCCAACCCTTCTATGATACCATGAAATGCTCTCCCACCAGATCCAGAGAGGTGGAGGGAAGCTAATAACTGGTGTGCAGCCCTTTGAAGTTACCTCCTTGCTCAGCCAAGGACTAATTTGCAACTAAAGTGGTTTCTTACTCTTCTTACACATATCCCAGAGTTCCCACCCATTCCCTGCACTACTCAAGCATATGCAAACAGACCTTCCAACAGAGGACTATTTGCTGGCATTTGCATTTTCTCCTGTAAACAGAGTGCTACAATCTCTCAATCAAGCACTAACACCTGCAAGGTCCTTTCTTGACAACAAGATGGGAACAGATTCTTCATACCTTGGTTTTATGTAGCCTGTAACTGATTTTATGCTTTCTTCTCTTGCTCCTGGGACAGCTGAGTTTTAGGACAAGGTGTAATAGTTTTAAACTGAGAGAGGGGAGATTGAGGTCAGACATCAGGAAGAAATTCTTCCCCATGAGGGTAGGAAGGCACTGGAACAGGTTGCCCAGGGAAGCTGTGGCTGCCCCATCCCTGGCAGTGTTGAAGGGCAGGTTGGATGGGGCTTGGAGCAGCCTGGGCTGCTGGGAGGTGTCCCTGCCCATGCAGGGGGGTTGGAACTAGATGGTCTTTCAGGTCCCTTCCAACCTTCACCATTCTGGGATTCAACAAACTGGAAGTTGAGGCCTCATGTAGACCTTAATAAGACTGACTCAGAAGCTGGATGTGTTTTCAAGCCTAGCTCAGGTCCTTTAAAAACAGCCAATTCCCTTCTAGCACTACAACAAGAAATGAAAATCCAAGCAGAATCAGAAGCTGCCAGGGATTTTGAATGGATTTTTTTTTGGTAAAATAAATCTGTGCAAGCAGAGCCAGCTTGCCCTGAAAAATCAAATCAATGGTAATTTTTTGCATGGATTTTTACCTAAAAAGCATGTGGAGTATTTGAGTCAGAACACAAACAGACCCCAAGACATGAAGTGCCCCTGTTTTCCTGACCAAGCCTTAAAAACCCAACTACACCCTCTGCTACGGATGCAGTTGCTCAGAGGAAACCCCTGCTGGGTCAGAAGTGGTCACTCAGACTAAGCTGGCCAGACTGAAAAAGGAGGAAAAACAGCACCAACGTTTCTCCTCCACCAAAGGAAATTTGTTTTATGGCTGCACAAACACATGCCATGACTTTTCAATCCCAAATGGGAACTCCCGGCCAAGCTGCGCCACCAACAATTGATGCAATTCAGAACCAGGAGCATTTTTGGCACCAGATCTGCAGCCCAGAAGTGTTTTCTCCTTAACAGCCTCTTTTTTTCTTTATTTTTTTCCAGAGGAGAAGCACTCCACAGCCAGGAATATCCCTGGTTGTAAGATTTTCAAAACAAAGCAGAGCAGTTGTGGGCTGAGCAAAGCTAAGCCCTCCAAAAGCAGCTAAAGAATCTCCTGGGATCATTGCCAGGAGAAACGGGATTTCAGCTTCAGTTTGTGCCTTTTGTTTTTAATTCTTTAAGTAGTAAACACACTAAATAAAAACAAAGACCCAGCCAAAAACCCATGAAGAGCACAGAGAACAGCAAGACACGACAACCGTGACCCCGACAATGCAACAGAGCAGCTCTGACAGCAGGTTTTGTTCACATTCCTCCCTAGAAACACATCAGGCTTCACAAGACAGCCCCACACGACAGGGAAGGTGCAAGTCCAGCCCTGCTGCCTGGATTCCCTCTGCCAGAGCTCTTAAAAACTCATTTATCCAGGGGAGGGAAGGTCATCTTTAACAGGTCCCCTGTTCAGCCCCAGCCAGTTCTCGCCTCCTCCTGCCTTTTCCGACCTACAAACTCATTTTCACAGGCACAGGAGCAAGAGACTCCACAGAAACACAAGTCCCACATGGTCAGCCCAACACAATTACACCAGTAAGACGCAGAGCAAGGAGCAAAACCCCTGATTCCCCCCAGTACCAAAAGGAAAACACTGGCCAAACCCACCCAGCTCAACCCCTTTAAGAACCGCGACACCAACCGCACGGCGAGAACTTCTCACAGACCTCCACGCCAGTGGTTTTCCCTGGTCTACCCAAGCCACCACCAAAAGCATCTACAGAAATAAAGCAAACATTTTCATTTTCAACCACCCAGAGTCAACAGGAGAAGGTGAATGTGGCCAATTCCTCACCTTGGTGGTGTCATCATGTGACCGCTGGTACCGTTTCCAGCGGCAGGCGTAGAACCCCGGCCGACAGGACAGACACAGTTGTGGG